ATGGTGTTCGGACCTACTGCTGCCACGGCTTCGCTACTTCTGCAAGAGGAACTGAAGGATCAGCCAGCAACGGTGATTTTTGGGTCCTCGTTTCCCGGGGACAAATCCGTAGCGGCGATATATCGCGAGATTGCCCACATCAAGCAGGCTATGGAAGTGGGCGGATGCAGCATGCTTGTGCATGCGGAGGATGTCTACGAGTCCTTATACGACATGCTCAACCAGTTCTACACACAGGCTCTGGGACCGAAACGCAAAAACGCACGGAATCTGACAATCCGGTTTGTCATTCCACAAGTTCACAGTTGCTCATAATCGTGTTGTTTTCGTTGGAAAAGGCATCTCAAGCCAAGCAATTCTACAAGCAATACAGGCCCACTCGTGGCCGTGCAGCATGCTACGATATGTATCTATACAGACCACATACATGGAAAAGCTCTCCTTCGAGCTTCCATCCGACCCCCCTTGTGCGCGTTGTACGCGAGCGATAGAGTATGCAAGAGGGTAAAAACCACAGTGTAGTATTCTATAAAACACTACAACTGAACATCATATAGTACACTATACTAAAATACAAGATGATATACTCAAAAAATATACTAAATTAAGAAGCGCTTCGCAGGCCTTGGGGCGAACACTTTGCCGCTTGGCCATCGGCGCAGAAAGTCGCCAGTGCGACGTGCATCCAGCGTTTCGATGCATCGTCGTGGCCGATGCGGAAGCTCGCTTGAGGGCTGTAGTATTAGGCCGAAGGGTTTAGGATTTGGGGCTGGGCACTTGTTATGAGTCCAACCAACCAACGAAAGTTGCCTTTATCTGATCGGTCCAAGCTGCTGCAAGGAAAAGGCTGCTCTTTATGAGGCTCCCCTTCTCAACCGTTTCGAGAAACAGCAGGTGGATTTCCACAGCTTCCTAAAGGACCTGGTGCTTGGAGGTTTGAGGCTTCAGGGTGTAGCATTGGTGGTTTCAGGGCTTGCATTGTGGATCTGGCCCTTTGGACTTGAGGCGTGTTGGGTTTCGTAGAACATGCACGAGCTCTCGAAGCACACCACAGAAACAAGAAAAACACACATCTTGGCGCCCTCATCCTAGCAGGACGAGAAGTTGAAGGAGCTGGAGCCACTCCTCCAGGCGTTTGTTTCAGAAGTGACCGAAATGAGTGGTACATCCTTGGCCTCCTCTGCCTTTTTGGGCTTCACGGATCCTCGGCCCATCGAAGCTAACTGGGAGGCATGTTATGGTGATCGCTACATCTTAGTTCCAGCAGCCAGTGTACTCTCGGGTATGTATATGGATAGTAAACACCCTGCCGAGAGAAGAGCGGCAGAAAGGATAAGGCAGACAGATGAGTATACAGTAATATGCTTTCAAGATCTCTCAAGCTCATGCGCTCGCGCACACACACACATAGATATAGATATAGATATAGATAGAGATATAGAGATATATAGGTATATATATATATATATACATACATACATACATACATACATACATACATACATACATACATACATATATATACACACACGCGTGCGAGCGCGTTCGTTTTTTTGCTTGGTCGGCGAGTTCCAACAATTCGTTGGAACCGCTATCGAAGCCGAATTAATGACATACATGACATCAAAACTTAACTGGTGAAGGTGAAAGGTAGGGTGTGAAAGATGTTGCCATCATCGTCTGCGATTCTTTTTCACTCCGCGGCATGTGGTACAAAAGAGTCACAACTTGGAATATGTCACGGTGACAGAAGATGTCGGCAAACCTGTGAAGTTTACTAGCACATGGCTTGCGGTTACGTCCTGCAAGCTCGGATGGTGGCAAATTCGTGCACGTTGGACTTTCTTCACGAAAGTGGGCAGCAATAACGAAAGCGAACCATGCCACAGTTTGCAGTACGATGGTTCAACGAACGATGACTCCAGGTGTGCAGTGGAGAGTCCCCAGCTTCTTTCCATCCCAAATATTAGCCTAAACATTGAGCCATGTATATGTATAAAGATATGATATACATACATGTTATGCATGCGTGTATATATATATATATACATATAGACATACACCTAGACAAACGTTTAAAAACATGTGTATATATATATATGCATATTTGTAGATTGAAAGAAACCTTAAACAGTAAATCGATAAGCTGTGCAACAGTAATTAGCTTCATAAATGGTCGTGTGCAGATCATGTTATACAACCACACGTGCGTGCGTACACACGCGTACATATTTCTTTTCATTATTCCATACCATATGTACATATACATACATGCATACCTACATGTACAAAAGTTCACATGCAGCACAGTGCCCGTTTGTTTGCCTGTGAACGCATCTATCCTCCTGCCGCCTCGAGCTTGAACATGTGCGGGTTGCTGTTTCAGCCAAGCCGCTTGTAGGGAGACTGGCCAGCAGAAGGGTTGTCTCACCAACCATGACACACACTGCTAAGGATCAGTCAATTCCTGGGCTTCTGCTCGCGGCACAGAGACGGAATATGCACACCGATGATGCCCTTCGCTGGGCAAAACAACAGCTGCTGGCGACCTGCATGCCCAAGGCTGTGGGTATGTGTCAGATTTGGGGCTTCAGATTGTGGAGGAGGAGCCTTTTGCTCTTGATCTAGGACCAGCTTTGGCATTTTGTGTGTAAAGGTTCCGGGCTTAGCGTGCTAAAAACAGGGTGCTGGGTTGCAATTTTCGGAGAGAGGGCTAAGAGCTGTCGGGGGATGTGAGGGTAAGGGTTGTGTGGCTGTGTGTTGGCAATTCATGCGTCAGAGTCCGCATGATGCATAGACACCCTCGGCGCACTAAGCCCATCAACCTTCTGCTCAAACCTACAAACCTCAAAGAGTCCGCCTTTGAGCGAACTCTAAACCCTAAACCGCAGTCCGGACAGGCCTGGTGCCGCTACTCCAGGGCTTGTGGGGGAAATCCAGACACCCACGGCTGTAGGCACATCCGAGTTTTCTCTCTCAATCCCATTCTTTTCTGAGCTTTGAAGTCAAGGCGACAGGCATTCTACCCAAATCGTAAATCTCGGAACCTAGACTCCAAGGTTCTGGATAGTCCACAGTTGCTGGTGGAAGCATAGTCCGGCCCGGGCACGCGAGGGGCGTGCATGTAACCCTGCTGTGTTGGCTGCCTGATGCACGAGCTAGGTCTCAAATTCGTTGAATCTCTCAAGAGTTTCGTCTGGACTTGAGAAAGTAGGCACGTAATCCCTTGGTATGGCTAGAAGACACCTAGATTCCAGACGGGAAGATATTCACAAGATGCTGCTTCATTGCGATGCAGCTACATCGGCATGCGGTTTGGCACAGGTGTTTAATGTCCTGTCAGCCCTAAACCTTAAACCCTACCTATAGTCTCCAGTGTAGGTCCTTTTTGGGGATACCTTATAGAATCCTTGATATATAATTGGTTAAACCAAAAAAAGAAACTACAATGGAGACTATAGGTAGACCCTAACCCGTTATGTGTTGTTTTCCTTCGTTCTGTATCACTCTAGTGCCCTGCCTTCGGCTTCCTACTCTGCTTTGCTACGTGTCGCAGATTGCATATAGCTGTATAGCTTGCCTGTGTGTTCTGCCTTATCAGACCCGGAAGGATGGACTTCAGCCTGAGTTGTGTTACTCTTGCACACTGCTCCAGGCCATCTGCACATGGCTCCCTCCCCGACTTCCTTGCTGAAGCCATGAGCCACGGCTACGTGCTTCTCTGCCTGTGAGGAGTCGAGAAGTTCTTGTTGGGGCCTTGGGGTCTTAGGGTTTAAGGTTTGGATTTGGGGTTTAGGGTTTGGGGCTCAGGGTTTAGGGTTAGGGGGCTGTGGGTTTAGAGTTTAGGATTTGTGGGCTTAGGGTTTAGGGTTAGGGGTTGTGGGTTTAGGGTCTGCTTGATGCATAACTCTAAATCAGCAGGGAAAGCGGCCTCAGAGATAACCCGATGAGCCCAAAGGCCCCCAACAGAAAGGGCACTAGACCAACCAACGCCGATCAGACCTTGTATTTCAATCTGCCCGTGATCCCAAGCCCCATCGCTTTGACTGCTCTTCGAGCATGATGTGTTGTTGTTTTGCTTCATGTGGTTTGCCCTAAACCCTAAACCCTAAACCCCTAAACCCTAAACCCTAAACCCTCCGATCTGACGATCGAGTTGTTCTCCCAAGCTTCCGCAGGCTGGAGCCTGAACACTAAGTCTGCCCCATAAGGTTGGACTGGATCCTTTACACCTTCAGTTCAGCCAAGACGCAGCTGAACCCTTTCTTGCCGCCGGAGTGGTCGGATTCGGCACGGATTCTGACTCTGGGTTGTTTATGAGGGCTTTCTGAGGTGATAAGGGGGATCTTAATCAGAAGCTTAATTGAAGTTTCACGGTCAACACTGCCGGTGTTGCACTATTTTGTCACGAACATTATCGTAACTGCATCTGGTCTCGCTAGCAAGACAACCTAGGAATCTTTCCAGTATCACTTCTGCGGCAGAGGCCCGGCGTCAATTTCAAGGCTACGGAGCCTACCAGCCGTTATAGCATGTCCCGCAGCGGCTGCAATGTTCGGAACTTTGGTGCGTAAACGGCGAGGCTGCAGAATGTGCCGGACTTGGCAGAGGGCTGGCAGGCAGCAGTTTTCCCAAAGGGGGATCTAGGGGGCCAATTCGTACAAGCATCGCTGGTGACCGGGCTTGAGTCTGACTTGTCCTCCTGAAACCATGCGCTTGAAGCCGGAATTCCGAGCTTTTGCTACAGGCCAAGCTGAGTCACTCCGCGATTGCCCGTGCGGGCTCCTTCAGGCGGGATATAGACGTTAGGAAGCATCCTTGTCCTTTCGCAAAGGTGAATAAGACAGGCCAAGCGAGAAACGAGGCGACTCCTGCATGAGTCGAAGTACGGTCAAGGTGTCGACAAGGAATAATCAAGATGACGACGGGCTGCTGGATAAACGTTGGGTCTCAGAGTCGGCATGACATACCGGGCAGCTGAAGGCAGTAGGGGCCGGGGCATGCCGGGGTGCGTTCGAGTGAGGCGGCTAGTAGCTAGGATGGCGAGGTGGTGTGGGCCTGGAGCGGATCAGCAACCCTGTACCTATGTACACCAAACAGTTTGGTAAGTAACCTGAGACCTTAGATCTCCTGAACTCTGATCCCTAATCCCTAATCCCTGGCCAGGCTTGTCCCAGTTGTGAGTGCTGAAATCCTTTCTTCGAGCTCATATTCGAATGGAATGGGCAGTAAGGATAAGAAGTGAACCATGGGAAGGCCTGGAACCTGACTGTCTCCAGTTCGAGCATGTCTCACCCAGTCAGGGACCTATCAAACCTCGCCGGGCTGTGCCCCGAGTCAGAGCAGCGAAACTTTACGACTGCAGCAGCATTGAAACCCACAAGTGACATGTCGTTTAAGAAGCTCGTCTAAGGTAGCACCCCGAGGTTCGAAGACGAAAGCCTCAACCCTAAGCCCTAAACCGCCAACAGCTAGAAACCCTGCAGGAAGGCTCAGGTTCGACAATTGGAGGCGACACTGGCAAAGGTCATCGAACGCTTCTGCCAATGGGTCGCCATCGGAAGCACAGGCCCACAGTTAAGGGTTTAATATACCTCAATAAACCAGGAATCCCTTCCCTAACAATATTAAAGCGGGGGGGGGGCGGGCTGAAACTCGAGAAGCGTGTAATCTGAGAAGGGGCTGTATCTCTAATGTCACTTCTTCAGGATCTTGCTCCTGCTCTTGCTGTCGCTCCTGCTCTTGTTCTCGCTCTTGCTCTTGCAGTTGCTCTTCCTTTCACTCATATAAATTTTCATCGACGAGGATGTGTCCTGGAAAGTGTTGTTAGAGGGGGGGGGAGGAGGGGGGGTTTCATGAAATAAAGGGGGGAAGGGACACAGCCCGCAAGCACTCCCAGACTCCGCCGAGGTCTGTGGGCCTGAACCCCCATGTAGAGGCGTTAATAATTAGTGTCCTTGTCCTCGGTTCGTGTCGGGCCGCCTTTTTGCCAGGATAGCTTTGGACGTCCCTGCAATTGCTAATGATTGCAAGCAGATTTCCTTAATCGTACATATGCTGTGCAAACTCACCAATCCATGAAGTGTTCAAAGCCAAGCATGTAACCCTTAATCCGGAGATAAAAATCTTCAAAGCACCAGCACCCTAAACTTTGCAAGCCTAATGAGGAGTCAGCTTTCAGGCCTACCCAGGACCAAAGACAGCAAAAACACACACTGATGAAGTCCCCCGGAACACCCTTAAGTAGATCCCTAAAGGGGTTTCTTGTAGGGTTCTATAGTAGGGTCCTAGAGGGTTCTATGTATACTGGGGTCCTGTTAAGGGGGTTCCTACAAACCCGAAGCCCCCCGAACCCTGAGTCAGGAGCCGGATGCTTCGCGGTGCCGCAGAGTGAAGCGCTGCTCCAGCTCTGGCAGGGAACACTCCGAAGCGAGGCGCGACCCTGACTAGGTTCCCAAAAAGCAGAGAAACAGTAGGATCTCAAAGCATATCTTAATCGACATGGTAATCCTTTTCTTACAGGATTGATTCTTTTGCCATGGGTTTCGTACGGTTTCGGGTATTTGTTGAAGTATGTGTCCTAAGGGTTTTTTGATTGTATATGGACCTTAAAAGGGATTCCAGATTTGTGCTCTTGCTGAAGAGTCAAGAGAGTGTCTTGCAGGCCATCATGAAGCCTTTGGATTCTTTAGGGTGCAGGACCTAAGCGGAGAACTTCAAGAGCTTGCTAAAGCAAGCCAACATTCATGAAGTACGAGATCACGAAAATGTCGGGAATAGTTGCCTGCCATGCTGTTGTTGACACGATCATCGACCCTAAGCCGCACTTGAAACTCCTACCGGAAACACCCGGTGGCTCGCTCATGTCTGCTTTAGGGTGTTGGTTCGTGTTTTAGGGGTTTGCGTTGAGGGTTTTGGCTTTAGGGTTTTTTGTTTGGGGAATAGGATCAGATGCTTGAGCTTAAACTTTGCCGAAAAGCTTGAAAAGTAGTAGTCAGCCGACAGGCCGATACAGTGTGAAACACGATCAGCGTAAGAGCGCTCCTAAAGTTCTAGGATGGGTGCCTTGAGGTTTTCCAGAGCATCATGGAGGAAGACACCGAAGCCGACAATCTGCTGAACCGGATGGTGGCTTTGCTGAGGGTCCTGCTGGTTACTGCTAGTTTTGATGGTGAAAGTTAGAGGTAGATCTATGTATGCCGGGTACCTTCCATGATACGTCTCGGCGCAAAAGGAAGATGCACCTAAAGCTCAAACCGCGTAGCAGTATCTGAACGGAGCTGTTGGTAAATTTGCATCATCTCCAGCCAAAGGCCTGGTTTTGGAATTGTCGGGTTTCAGGTATTTTTCGGGAGTTCAGCGAAGACGCGTACCATCGCAGGTTCTTGTGTCGCATCATGTTTGTTTCCTTACGGTGGGCAGAAGGTTGCTAATTTGCTTGCCTTGCCCCCTAGACTTTGATACTAGAAATGCCTTCGTAAGATCCCGTTTCCAGGGACTCAAGCCGCGGGTTTTTGCGTTCTTTGACAGACTGGAGGCCGACCCTCGTGTACCCAGCAACCTCTTAAGAGCCTCGCAACTCCGGATCTATTCCTCCGCAGCTCTGATCAAATTGACATCCGAGAGTCGGTGAGTTTCCACCTGGACGGTTTAGGGTTTAGGGTTTAGGGTTTAGGGTTTAGGGTTTAGGGTTTAGGGTTTAGGGTTTAGGGTTTAGCCTTTTTAGGTGTCGTTGCATGGGGAGGGATGACAGTCAGATCCTTGTCTACACCTGAGAACCGTAGAGAGACTTCCAGGCCGCAGGCTGTTTCTGTATTTATATCCTGCAGGCATCGACGTTATGGACCTCCCTTGGCCATGCCCAGATCGTTGCCATTTTTGCAGGTTTATTGCGACTGTACGATGTGTTCTACAGGATATCTTAGACAGCTCGGCAAGACAGTAGTACGGCCTACTGTGCTGAATGTCCAAGTGCCCGACGAAACCCTAGGTCCGGAAGTTCAGGGTGGCAGAGCTGCGAATTGTTGGGAGGCCCGACTCACTCTTCGACGACGGCTTCGCTGTCCTTATTCACTCCTTTGGCACGACTTCTTCGAGAAGGCAATGAACCTCGCGCAGGCCCTGTCTGTTGCTGGGAGGTGGAGGGCTTGCTGAGATAGCCCGAGGTCTCCGCACTGTCACATACTTGAGTTTCCATGTTCGAAACCCACGGTTGGCGGCTTGAGTGCAGCCATACACTTCAATCTTCTTCCCTGATGACGCAAGCCCAGGTTGGCGGGCGCCAGGAAGCGGGACACGATCCGTGGCAGCGGATGCGCGAGATTTGCCGAGTCGATGGACAGGACATGACCAGGCCGGACGGGTGCTTCGGATTCCAAGCAGTGGTTAACGAATGGACTGGGCTTTCATGGGTCGGGGGATCCGTATGCAGTGCATTCAGCACCCAAGGATCACAGTCAGAAAAAGGTGTCAGCCCGAAAGCGGCATACCCCACACTCACTAGAGAAACGCTCAAAGTACAAAAGAGAGTGTAGCCCGAGATGATGGCCGGAAAACCGTGTTGAAACCATTGGTCTTGAATTTGTTCTTGCAAGGCCAGTAGTTAGCATCGCTCAGGTACGGTGGCAGTTGAACCCCCTAAACCCTAAACCTCCTATGACTCAGCAAGCGCAGTGGCCTGCCATGCAGGTGGTTCGGTCCGGATGCTTGTCAAGCGTATGGCCACGATGTCGCTGGATCCAAATCGACTGCCAGGGCTTACATGCAGATGCTAAAGTACAACAAGTAAGTGAGTAGGAGGCTTCTTTTAGCGTCCTGTAGGGTGTTACAGCAATCAGCAGAACCCCATTTTTGTCTATCGACTACTCGCTTTAGCTGCCTGCTTCTGTCTGCCCGGCCACGTGGCTGATTGTAGGAGTTCCTAGGCAGTTAAAAATATTATAAGGATCCGAAAATGTAACCTCCAAAAAGCTTTCTTGCCATGCACGTCCGATTTTAAGGCACAAACAGAGCAACATCACATGCTGCTTCAGTACAGCACATGAACGTTTTAACGCTGCATGCACGTCCTATCAGCGACGCATGCATGTTTCCGTTAATTCACTTGTGTCAGTCCCCTGGCTGCTAACTACGTCCACGCATCTGCTTGCACCAACAGCCATTGGCTACATAATATGAGCGTGTCGGCTCCAACAGGCACAACTCATCTCCCCGGCCCTACCAAGGTGGAGAATCTTGCTGCTATAGCCCTTGCAAATCCAAGTGGCCGAGATGGTATACTTAAACCTTGAGCCTGTCCATGCATATACCTGCTAGCAATAATCTCCAAGTAGTCCTCGTTAGAAAGGGCACCATCTCACGTTTCAATGTTTTGGATGATAAGCATCCAGGCCATTCTGCTGGCAGCGCTGGAGACGAATTTGAAGCTGGAGCCTCATGATATGGACCTGCCACTTTGCTCTTTTCAGGACCTATTTGCATTGATAATGATTCGTGTCATTGTGGGCCTTGTTGTGAGCATCCACAGGAAGGCTCATTCGGAAGGCATTCTTCGAGGTTGGGTTTGTGGATCCAAGAGACCAGCGTGGATTAACGTTTGACTGCGGGGGCTGAGAATCTCGCAGGCAGCCTCTGGCACGTCGACAAACGCCTAATGTATGGATTCGGCTGTCAAGTTTTCACATACACTCAGAGTTTCAGAAGTAATCACCACGCGGCATTTGAGCAAGGCTGTTGGAGGTCGTGTTCATCTATGCCAGGCAATGTGGGGGAAGAGAACTGATTTGCAGAGACAAGGTCAGCCGAGACTGCGCAGTCCATCCTGAATGGCGCCCTATCGTTTTAGGGGAGCAAACTGAGTCGAAGCTTCTCCAAGTGTCGGTGCATCCAGGCTCGATTCAAGCATCTACAAATTCTCCACTTTGCAGGAAGTCCGTTCAAGGCATCCTTGTTGGCCCCGACGTGCACATGGCGATTCGCAGCATGGCTGCTATGGCCACGGTCTTGCCTGAAATCCTCGCATCCACGTTGCGGAAGGGCTATGCAGAAGAGTCAAGCAAGCGGGTGGGGGGTGTTGCACCGTACCTGATTACTTACCACCAGGTGCTCATTGTACGCATTTCACGCAGGCCTGCGTCCAATGGTCACGCATAGAACCGACGAACTTGCAACCGTACCCCGTAAGAGAAGCCTTACGAATGAGAGGTTTGTTTTCATTCCAGTACCTTCAACTTTGCAGATTCCAGGCAACAGCAGCGGCCCCGCTGATCGTTTTCCCTTTCGGAACCGGTTCTGAACAGAAATCTAAGGCTTTGAAACAAAGACGATTGAAGCCTAAACCCTAAACCCTTTGTTTGGCCCCAGGACTTGCAACACGTTCAGACGACTCTCGAGCTTTGTTCCCTGCAGTGCGACCTAGTCAGCGAAGCGGGTGGGAAAAAAACCCTGAACCCTAAACCCTGTGCCCTTCGAAGGAAAGCTGTGGCCCATCCTGCCTCATTTGGCCAAGCTGGGGTCATTGGGGCTCATGACCCCAATCCTGGCTGCGCTGCGCTCCGAGGTGGGCGGACAGAGGTCGTGAGGTTTACTATAGAAGGCTAAATAATTACCAATAGTATTTTAGGGCTTCCTTGTTGTAATTATACTGCTATAGTACATTTTTCCCAAAACCCTATCCCTTATCAAGGCCCCTACATTACTCCACTGTAGGCTTCAGGGTTTGTTTGGGTCGAGGCCCCAAAAGACGTAGCAAATTTGGGGTGTTGAGTATTCTTCCAGACAAGACACTACCCTGGAAGTTGTCAGGACACCACCGACGGCTTCTTCGAATCTATTGCGGATGCTGCCGTGAACGCCGTCTCCTCTGACAGGTGTCGGCCGTCAGCCGTGCTGGAGACTCGCTTTGCCTGCTTGTGATTAGGGTTCAGTAGCCATACCACAACCCAGAGGTCACAGTTCATTCAGGTTGCTTGTGGTAGGCTTCGGATCATGCCCTTGAACTCTAAATCCCAGACGGCCAGAACGTGTATGTATGCGTGTATGAGTGTGTGTATGGCACAAGCAGAGTCTCATAGGCAGAGGGAGAGGCAGGCACTGGGAACGTAGACAGGTCGCTTCTGTGCTGTTGGTTTTCAACAGTCATGTCAGGCCTCTGGTCCATGAGAGTGCGGAGGGCTGCGGTAGTAATATGTTATATACTCTGCCAACAGGGGCAATAGTAGAAAAGCAACTAAGCCCAGTTCCGGCTCGTGGAAACTTAATGCGGCATGAAATGCCCGGAATGGAAGCTGCTACGCCCGGAACCCTTGGAGTCTAGCGCGGCAATCGCAAGTGCTCAAGCATAATAGCGGATTCAGGATCACCAGCTCAAGGAAATTGAACTGCTGTTGACGGCGCTGAGCCAGATCACAGCAGGCGCAGGGATTCAGTTTTGCTGAGCTTGTTGAGTGTGCCCTTCGTCTGGTTGTCAATCCTAACGTCGTCAAGGTTGTGAGGCATGAACGCTCCGTCGCAGGTGCAACGATTGCTAGACTTCGTGCATCATCATCCGGAGTCAACATCTGGCCTAGAGTAGCACCACTCATTGTGAAAGCCTCTCGGGGCGAAAGCGTCCTGCAGGCAGCTGCTCCAGCAGCCGAATTGTCCAGGAGAAGGAGACTGCGCATTGCACCAGCATCCTAGTTTCTTTCCTAGCTCTTGTCCTGATATTGCAACAAGAACAAGCAAAACATATGTCCACAGCAGTGACTTGGCAATCATTAGCGGCAGATTCTTGGCTTTTCTGGGCGCCGCCAGTTGCAGCTACAGTCGCCGCCTCGTTGTCGTCAGTTAGGCAGTGGTGGCGGCTGTTGTTGTTGTTGTTGTTGTTGCTGCTGCTGCCTTTTGTTGTTGCTTTTCTTGAAAGTACCTTTATCTCGTGCTTGGTGCTACTCTTCCTCATGGTCCCTGTTCTTCTGACAGTTTGGCTGTGTGCCCTCATTGTGTGATGACTTCTTGCAAGATTTGGTTGAATGGGATTTTGGTTGAACGACCTGGAGCTCTGACTGTCACCCACAGAACTGGGCCTTTGGGTTTGGTGTCGGAAGTTGGGCTTCGGAGGACTGATCTCCATTTAGGGTTCAAGGTGTGGTCTATCCTCACGCCCAAGCCACCCAATAGCCTGCTTGGTTTAACGATTCCAGGGGCCTCTATGCTCTTAGCGGGGTAGCGTATTTGTGTTTGTCATTGTTTCTATGTATTTTTCCTGAGTTGTTTCTCATTTTGGCTGGGGTTTAGGAGCAAAGGAGAGAAAGGCACGTCAGAGAAAGGAAGGACAGCGCAAAGAAAGAAGGAAAGGCACGAAAGAAAAAAAGAAAGAAAGAAATAAAGACAGGAAGGAAGCAAGAACGAACGACAGAGGAGGCAGAACGAAAGGAATAAACACGGGAAAAATAACGCAATAAATAAAGACAGGGAGAAAGAACGAAGGACATAAAGAACGACTCAGCACGACAGAAGGAAAGACAGGAAGGAATGAGGGAAGGAAGGGGAGATAAAGAACGAAAGAGATAAGGACACACAGAGCGACGAAAGAAGAACAGAAGGACTGACGGAAAGAAAGAAATATACAGATAGAGAGAGATAAAGAAAATAAGCAAAGACACAGAAGACGGACAGAAGGAAAGTACGACAGAAAGAAAGAACAAGGAAAGACACGAAGCACTGAAAGAACGACAGAACGAATCAAGTAGAGAAGGAAGGCATTAGACAATGGAAGAGCGACTGAAAAAGAACTGCCGAAAGCACTACATAGAGAAGGAAACACAGAACGTGAGAAAGAGACGGGGAGGAAGACAAGCAAGTGGCAAAGGTCAGAAGTGAAGAAGACAAGAAAGAGAGCCTTGTTAATGCCGTGCAAGGCTTGCTTTCAAAATAACAGGGGCTCCATAATGCATTCTGTCTGCAAAAGTGGGGGCCGCCCCTCCCCTTTTCTGCTGTTTTTGAGCCGCGCACGAGCTCGCTTCAAACATCAGCCTGCCAGCAAANNGGGGGGGGGGGGGTTGCGCCCCTCCCAACCCCGCCATGACGAAGAATTGCGTCAGTCACATATAACTCTTATGGAAGTTTTCATTTTTCAATATGTATCGTGGCATTCTGTCTGCAAATGCCCTTATGAGAACCCGTAATACACGCATACATCGGGTTTGCAGAGGGGGGCTGCGCCCGCCCTAACCCCCGCTTTTTGTTAAGCCAATCCCTCCGCCTCAAGGG